CCGCTCCGCCATGAGGCCCTGCCCGCCGGCGGCGGCGGCGGCGGCGCGCGCGCGGGCGTGAGGGAAAGGAAGAGAGGGCGCCGCCGCCGGAGCTGTTGCTGCTGCGTTCCGCCAAGATGGCGTGCGTGCTGGAGGCGCCGCTCCGCATGAGCGTCCTCTCGGTGAGTGCCGCCGCTGCCGCCGCCGCCTGGGGGGGCGCCCGCCCCTCTTCCCGTCCGCCGCCGGGCTCGGCCTGACCTTGGCCTTGGCGGGGTGTGGGTGTGTGTGAAGGCGGGAGGTGGTGGTGATGGTGGTGGGGGGGTGCTCCCGGCACCTGCCGGGCCCCTTTGTGTGGCGGCGGGGGGCCCGGCGCCGGGAGCGGGCCTGGCGGGCTGCGGTGGGCCGCGGGGGTGGTACGGGGTGGCGGGGGGGGCGCACGGTCCCTTGTCTCCCCTCCCCACGTCGCAACAACTTCTTCCCAGAGGCGGTTTTCTCTTCAAAACGGCTTTTCCCTCCTCGTTTCTGAGGAGCCCGGTCCCGTTTTCGTGAGGCGGGGAGGGGGGGCTGGCTCTCCTGAGGTAAACTGACGGCACGGGTCGCGCTCCGCAAGCTGCCCTCAAACTCCTTTTCGGCAAAAAGAAGCGTTATTCCTGAGCTGTGGTCACTGGGCTGTGCTGCCCAGTCCCCCTCAGGAGCTGTCGGTGGCAACGCTCTCCCATCCCGGGCTGGCAAGCGGGTGGGTGTTTTGGTGGCCAAAGGCGGCTCCTTCCCCCTCAGAGCCCCTCGGGGATGTGGGGACACGGCCCCCTTGGGGATGGCTGCGGGGAGGAGGCCGCTGGGGGGGCTCCGTGGGGCAGGGAAGGGGGCTAACAGCCGCCACGGGTGTCCCCTCTGTGGGGGAAGCCGAGGGCATGTAGAACAGCCCATGCTGGTCGCCCAGTCCTTCTGCTTATCAGGGACTAACAGCGCTAAAGGTACAGCGTGGACACTCCTTCAAAGAGCTGAAGTGTTGGGCTTTTTCCCCCCTTTTTCCTTTTTTTTTTTTCTTTTTCTCCTTAAAATTTCATACTAGGTAAAAGAACTTTGAAACTGATGATGTTGATAAATTCTTTATTTTTGGGGCACTACCTGAAAAACTTGTTTGCCTGGATATGAATGCCCTTCTGCATATTGCAAATCTAGTAGTTGATAGGGTGAAAGCCAGGAGATCTTAGAAGCAGAAAGCAGTGGGATCTCTGAAGTCCAGAAGACTTTTGCGTATAAACACACAGATCAGGTCAATGAAAGTCCACTGCTGCTCTCAAAAATATTGTCTTTTGTTACATGGTGGAAGTTTATCTGTAGAATTTATTTGGCGTAATTTAACAGTATTCCTGGAGACAAAGGAGTCTTGCTGCCCCTAGATGATTCTTCTTCTCTTAGAGCTACGTGAGACCGCAGCAAGAAGCTGCTGGTGCTTCTGACATCTGGGTGGGGAAGCAGGAGCAGATGCAGCCCAAGAGTAGATACT